AAACAACAACAAAAATAACTAACTTGCTTTTCACTTAAAAACCAACAGTCTTTTTCTACAACAACCAAATAACAACAAACAGATTTGCTGCCATTGCTGTTGTTTCGCCCTTCTGCTCACTGCCGATACTGCTGCTGCTGTTGCTGCTACTGCTGCTGCCGCTACTGCTGCTGCTGCTCGTGCTACTGATGATGTTGATACTGATACTAATGAAGGGTGATGCTCGTTAAGTAAGCAGAAAAAAAAAAAAACTGAGCATTGAAATAGAGATGAATTTAAAATAACATTACACAATTATTACCATCATCATCATCATCATCGTTGAAAACATCATCATCATCATCATCATCACATCATTATCACCATCATCTTCATCATCATAATCATCGTCATCGACAGTATCAACATCACTGTAGTAACAACAACGATATAGATGAAAAAAAAAAAAACATATAAATACATTTTACAGACAAAAATTATCTGACAGAAAAAAAAAAACCCTAATCAACGATTAATGACAGCATACTCTCTCTTTTTTTTTTTTTTTTTGTTTTTGTTTTTCCTTTGTACTATTAAATATTGGTCTCTTTTTTTTTTTTTAACTGTTCTCACAGTTTTTTTTTTGCATTTATTGTTAAATCTTACCTTTCACCGATCATTATCATCTTCTTTGTTTTTGCAATTTTTCGTTTTATTTTTATCAAAATCTTTACAAGTGGAAAATTTTTTCAACCACTGTACAGAGAACTGATTTGTTAGATGGTTCTTGTAACACAGACAAACACTGTTCAAACGTATTTCTTAACATCGTTTTAATGTACATTAGAAGTCCCCGTAAATGATATTTTTTTTAGAAAGAATGATTTATTTGAGTAACAAAGCAAATTGTCAACATTGATAAAAGAATATAATGTTAATCGAAGTTATCCAACTAATTGAATACAGCAAATAACTGCAAGCACAGCATTTGTATGTATATACGACAAACAGATTTTATCTGCCAAACTGTTGTTACACCTCCCGTAAATTTACTTTCCAGTAATTCAAATTTTAAATTTTTTTTACCGTCTCTACATCCAACTTTTTCTTTCACTAATTATCATCTTCATACTGTATATTGAAGAGTTTTAAAGTGCTCATAAAGTTATCCAGCTATGAAGTTTTAAATGACAAATAAAATGCACTTGTTGAGTAAAAAAAAAAA